CATACCCATCCAGGTTGTGTCCATTTGAAGTTTTATATGGATGCATCGAAAGTAGCACACAGCTTAACCCCTGTGAGGATGTGGATGCGTCCGCAACAGATGCTAGTTTGATGCTTGGAGAGTTGTGCCCATCTTGGAGGCATCCCAGACATGTACCTTTATGAATTTTCAAAAGAGACAGCAGATCTTGTCTCCAGTTAATGTGTGGGACCCGTACATTGGATGACGTCAGCTGGGTTAAGCATCCCCTCCCTATATGACAAAGCTGGACGTGGATCAACATTGGGACATGGAAAGGTGCATCCCAATTTTGATACATGTTGGGATGTCCCTACATGGATCCACGTTGGGACATGGAATCTCAGGGAAGAAAAAAATTCAAATTTTCTCGGAATTGCACACACATTCAAGCCCTCACACACACACACAAACACAAGTACATACACACACCACAAGGCAAGACCAGACAGTCATACACACACCACAAGGCAAGACAAGACAGTCATACACACACCACAAGGCAAGACAAGACAGTCATACACACAACCAGACAAGGCAAGACTGTCACACACATGCATTCAATACATGAATAACTCCCAACCCCTCAAAGGTTCAAACCTACTCAACCCCACAATCTAAAGTGTGCAGCCTAACCAACTGTGCCAACCACACAGCTTGTCTCTTCATGCAGTGCTTTACAGTAATATACTGCATTCCCAGCAATAACTGCCCTGATGTAGTCCCAACAGATGGGTGCCCTTCACAATGAAGAAAGGAATGTTTTGGAATCAAAGAGAATACTGTAGTGAATGCTGCTGTGCTTCAGGGTTGTTTTGTTGAAAAACTCATAAACGGGGAAGGAATACTCAATATATTGCTGGATTGTATGCTTTAAAATTTTATTCACAAACAGTTTACTGGACAAACAATACAATACTATGCACACAATACATAATGTGGAAAGTTAGACAGAAACAATGTGATAACAAAATGCAAGACAGATGTACAAGCAATGTAATACAATACAAATATCAATCCTTACTGTCTCAAATTACTGATTCTCCCAACTGCATCCTGATGAAGAACATGGCCATATGACACATGTTCCAGCATCAGGGTATTAATGATATATAACTTAATATAGAGCTCTTTGCTAATACTGTATTTTGCTTTGCAGGATGAGCAAATAGCAGAGCAAGTTTTGTGCATGTGTCTCATGCACTTTTTCTACAACCATGTTGAGTTTGGGGTCATTATCTCAATATCCACATACAGTAAATTCATGTGGCATATGTATAGCTGCATTATTGTTTAGTGAGTTGCATGTGAAACAGAATGTGAAACAGAAAAACACATGAATGGCCAAATTTCAGCAATGAAGTTATTGTATATTCATATCAAAAAAGTTCCCAGAAGAAGACTTGAAGGGCTACAAAAATAATAGAAGTTGGGATGTTCTTTGACATTTTTCTTGTATTTGAGGAAAGTTGGAACAAGGATCAATGTCCCAAACTCTTTGTGCATGTCCTGCCTTGCAAGAAAATTCATGATGTGGATCCACACCCAACATTTCTCAGTCACAGAAATGAGTCCCCAACTCATACTTATCATGCTGATTTCCATCAATTATGTATGTTTCACTTCCTCTCAAGTTGTCCACATGCATTGGACTTGAAATGAATTTTGAGAGACATCCCAATGTGGATCCACGTTGGGACAGTTCTCAGTCACACAAATTAATCTCCAACTCATACTTATCATGCTAAATTCCATCAATTATGTATGCTTCACTTCCTCTCAAGTAGTCTACATGCATTGAACTTGGAATGCATTCCAAGAATATATCTTCCAAGTGTATCAAGTTCAGTCAGGAGATGGATCCAAGTCCCAACTTTTTGGGTTATAAACCATCATACTTTTCCAGAATAGTGGAGATATTGAATAACATTGCAACCTTTCCATTTTTATTCCTTGAACTTCTTCTTCAGAGACTTATTTCAAAATTAATTTAACTTCATTTTCGAATTTTTGGCAGAATTTAAAGTAAACATAATTCTTTACTCACTCAAATCATACAAGGGACAAAAGTTATGTTTACATTAAATTCTGCCAAAAATTCAAAAATGAAGATGAATTAATTTTGAAAAAATGTCTCTCAAAGAGAACTTCAAAGGCTAAAAAAAAGAAAACTTTCCCAATGTGGATTCATGTTGGGCTGCCCCACCAACGTGGATCAATGTTGGGACCTATGTTTCTGTGTCCAGACATGGATCCACTCCACACCTTTTTGTGCATGTCCTGACTTGCTTGTGATGCTTTGGCTTTGCCAGTGCTGGTTTATTGCTAGCACCCATGCAATAAACCTCACATGTATCCTTTTTGGACACAGCCTGGACCCATCCAATTTTCAACCTTTTGGACATGTTCATTCTGAATGCTAAAAGGATGTGTAATACCCACATCTTCCTTGGATGCATCCTACTGCTTGGAAATATGGACACATCCATTTTGGTGTTATCTTCCCATCCTTGGGGTACATGACAGCGTGGGATCTTTACAGTTTGTGTCAACCATGCATGACTTCTGTACAGGTCCAAAAAGTTCAGGATGACAATGCTAAGTTGGATGCATTTGTTGAGTGTCCTTTTCTGATGCATGAGGAATATTTGCAATCCGTTTTCCTGGGCAGAGCTGATGCTCAACTTGGAAATTGCTGAAAATCAGGCAAAATGTATCAAATTAGTGGCTCACTTAAGGGGACACAAAATAAACTAAAAACTCAATCAAGCAATTGAGTCTGCTTTGCTCATTGTATGCTTTTGTTTCATTTGAATTTTGCAACTGAACAAGCATTTTCTTCAAAATATTTTGCCAATATGAAGCTGAGCTGGCACAGTGACAATCTTGATTGTTCTGATGATGCTAGTCCACGCATCAATTGGTTTTTATGCATTCTTGCCTCCCCAGTGTATTCTGGGGGGTTGTTGTCGGCAGCATCAAGGACTTCCACCAGATCCCAGTAAAGTTGACTTAGCTCTTGAGGGCCCAATTTTCTGGGACAAGGCATGTTATAACCATCTTCTTCCCAAAAATTAGGATTTTTTGGAAAACAAATTTCTAAAGATGAGGAAAGCCCATTAGACAGAATTCTGCCTGTTTCAAGCAAATTTGTCATAGTCTTCCACCCTTTTGTTTTGGCAAGCTCAGACGCAGTAAAGCATCAAACTCCTGTATTTTTCTGGTAAATCTGTCCCTCATAAAAGTGAAGGGCCCCCACCATTTTCAGGGGGACCATTCCCCAGGCAGCTTAACTGCAGCCAGATGGTTTTGCCATTTGTCTTTTGGCATGCTGATCCACATTGGTGTGCCTTTCAGAAATATACTCCCAAAGTCTCTAAAACTTTGGGAAGGGTCAATAAATTGTGTCTAAAACAAGACACAAGAATTTTCTCAGCAATAATTCTTCACAAAAGTCCCCCAAGCAATTGAATAAACAAATTTTTAAAACTTCAACATGTAGAAAATGAAGTCACACAGGACAGCCACAGATAATTGGATCATTTTGCATCAAAAGGCATTTGAGAAGCAATGAGAAAGAACAAGTCTATATGCTATGCTAAACACACATAATTGAAAAACTGGAAACAAATAAAAGCACAAATAGCTGTTGTCCATTAAAATAAAACCAGCACTTCAGGTTATATAAAAATATGTTATTCACAACAAATATGTTGAAACAATCTTTTGAAAAAATAAGAGACAAGTATTTGAGAGAATCTTGTTAAATGTACACAAGGTGGGAAGGGGGTTTGGATGCAGGAGTCTTGGTTGTGCCTTATTGTGAATGCTGAAAAACAGCAAATAAAGTGTTCTGTTCATTCATTCATTCACAAGGTTCTCTGAGATGTAACCACGGTCAACACTGGATTAAATCTGAGGAATATATGATTCCTGAGTAATATATATACCTTCTCAGGTATATTATTCTTGAGTGCGCAGACCTCATGAAGCAAATATCAGATACACAACACACAATAACAAGATACATATACTGTATATATATGTAAAAACAGTCTTGTAGGATATTTACCTCTGAAATCTGTATTTCGGAGGTGTGGCTGTGCAAGGGGCATTTGTCACTGTCAGCAGTGAGGGGGAGTTTTAGATTCCTTTAAACAGAACAAAAGTGTGTCACGCAGTTAACATGGGGTGACATATGAGAAGAGAAAATTCAAAACAAGGAAACAGCTGCAGGGAGAAAACCTTGTGTGCTCCCTTGAAGCAAGTGCAAATTAAAAAGGAGATCCTTGAAACATACCAAAGCATTTCCTGGATAACTGATCATTAAAACGGGTTATTTCATAAATAACTTTATCCTTCAAATTTGCAAATGTGATAGCTACATTTTTGCAACATGTACAAAAAATTTAAAGAAAAATTTAAATCCCTCCAAAAAAGGTAGAAAATTAGCCATTTATTGAGTTATTGCTGTCAATACATGTTGGGGCATCTGCATTTTTGGTTCTCACATACTGAATGTGACTGAAGTCAATTTTTACAGAAGATCATTCCATTTTTCAAAGAATACAGTCAACCCATGCACAACATATTTTTGCACAAGAGACCACCTCTGGAGGCAGTTTTCCCTCCCAAACAACACACTAAAGCTGCATAACCAACTTCTGTTGGTTTAAAATTAATGGTAAAAAGTAATAACTTTAATTTTCTAATGATGGAATTTGCATAACTGCCTTCTCACACAACAGACTAGTCTGTTGTGTGAATTAAGTCATGAATCAAGTCCATTATTGCAAGTGTACTAAGAATCTGAATCCCAGATAAACAAGGTATGATTCATTTGAGGTTGTTCTTATGTGAAACAAGGTTTCAGGCACTATAAGTCTGAAAATCTTGCTTTAACAAATTATTCAGTGCAACAAACTTTTTCCCCAAAAAAAATTCCAAGATGATTATAAGGCTTTTTTTGTTCTTTCTTGAAGATGAAGAAGGCCATGGAGCTGATGCGACCTGGAGAAGGCTTGAAATTTGAAAATCATCCTTATCCAGATCAAAATGTCCTTTGCTATCCTCTGCTGAACATGCTTGCAGCTGCAAATCTACTCAAAGTGGATGTGCTCTTTTTGGATGTGGATGGAGCTGAACTAGATGTTCTGGGAACCCTAAGGTTTCAAGAAACTGACATAAAAGTACTGTATAAGTATTTATGAAATCATGGTCTTACACTGATTATAACCTATGAAATGCTGTGGTACATGAAAAGGAAATATGCTGACTGATTTTCTTGTTAACTTCTTCCCAAGAAAATAACACTACAGAAAACGACAAATTCACATTGAAAGTTGCAAATGTAAAAGAATTCCATAATATTTGAAACACTTGCATAAAAAACAATGCGAGCATGATAAATAAAATCATAGTTGCTGCCACAATCCTCAAGATGCAACGGCAGAGAATTTTCCCGGTTTCTTTCTCGCAAAAAAAAAACAATAACTCGGCAAAATTTCATCACCACAACCTTTTGGCAAAACTCAATATAATTTCAAATTTTTACTAGAAGTAAATCTTGAGTTTCTCAAAAAGAGCCGCAATTTTTCTTCCACTCATTTTGTGCTTCATACTTTGAGCTGCATGCATCCTTATGCTTGATTATTTAGAAAAAAAAAATTAACCAATCTTAATCATTTATTTTCCAGGCTATCGTTCTCGAATGCGTCCAATTTGTCTCCCTGGTTCCTGGAGAGTGTACAGAAGAACTGAAAGGAAAATTCGAATCACTTCTCAAACCTTGGGGATATGAGCTGAAGAAGGTAATCAATCACCAGGACTTGCTCTTCATCAAACGTGATGCGCAATAATTCTGATGTTCAATAATTTTGTCAACAAATTTCAAGAAAATATTATACCTTCTCCAGGGGACGCTTTCCAATTGAGCACAGTTGACACTTTGGTTTGTTTTATTTCATATCTGATAATGTGCAATGTTGCATGAGCAACTATTCAGACAAAATGACAACGTAAGATGACGTAAACGAGTTCATAACGGGCTTTTTAAATGTCTCGTGACGTTTCAGAGTCGTTTACATAACGTTTCTTTACGTTTGCCGTTCTTGTGGCGAGATTTCTCATGCTTTTTGCAACAGTCACAAAATTTTGGACTGGGTGTTTTCCTTGTCTTATTCAGTGCACTTTGTTGGTGAAGAATAAATGTGTGTCAGAGATTTTGCCTTATTTTTATCAAAGTTTTAGAGATTTTTCCAGTTTGACTCCAGTCAGTTTGCAGACATAAGTAAAATGTTTGGCTTATTGTGACATAAGCAAATCAAAAGAAGAAAAACAATTTTGAGAATATAGTAAAGTTGAGATTCTTCATTTTCCAAAGGTAGCCAAACTGGCTTTAAATTCAAATTAACCTGGCCAATAAACATGCTTGTGATAGAATAAGCCACCAAAAATACTTTTTTCTTCCAAGCTTTTTTATAATCCATCTGTCCTTGAAGAACAATTTTACTGTCCAACTGATGAAAAACAAATTTTTTTATTACTATTTTTTCAATGCTTAGTAAGGTATATTATTTGATCTTTGCCTCAAAGCAAAAACAAAAGAATTAATTTTTATTCTGACATGTATCCTTCTGTGTGCATATCACTACATAGAATTCTGCTTTTCCAAATTATGTATAGACCTCATACTTCTACATCCATGCTGTAATTAGAGCTCTCTTGCATTAATTGATGAACTATTTGACCTCAAATCATCTGCACCCACAGGCAATGAATCATTTCTTTAATTATGCATATGCCAAAGCATGTGTGCATCCTATGCTCCTTTTAACAACAAGTTCCTCATGAAGCGTTATGTTTCTTAAATTAAAACCTTACCTATACCTGTGACAAAAACTATGGAATAATTCTTCAGGAAAGTGTTTTGGGAAGCAAACTTTGTCAGATAATCTTAGGTAGTTTAAAAATTTGAACAATTTCTGTAAGTTGTAAGATTTTCCTGAGTAAAATAGATTTCTTGGAGCCCAGATATTCTGGAATTATTTTAGGAGTTTGCAAACCATGGTTTGAAAAATTGTTACCACTACTTCAAAGCAAGAGAGGCAGAAGGGGAAAAAGAGGATTGAATGTTTAAATGAGTAAAATGCACAATAAGCTAGTCTGAGACTGGGATTCTAAGAATCCTGGTCTAATGTTATTCTGTTTAGGAAAATTTGAAGGATTGCTGCTCACGAAGTTTCAAACTGAAAACGCCACTTTGAACAGCAGTCAACAAATTTGCCTTCTCACAAGATCAGGTTTTTAGGCTTCACTCTGAAGATCTGCTCAGGACAAATATGCACAACTTGTGATCCCAAAGTATTTTTATGGGTAGCGCTGCATGTGCAGGCTCCCTGGTATTTCTTGTGTGTTTCTCTCTTGCTTTTCCCTTCCCAAAAAGGGGCTGCACCAAACTTGCATAGTCATGAGTTTTGAGGCCAGCAATGGAGGGCATCGCTGTCCTCCTGCGTGTGCGTGTACTATTTCTTTTTGCCAGTCAGCCCACAAGTTGAGTAACCTGCTGGCTGACCACCGCTGCCCTTTAACTATGTATGTTTCCCTTTATTCATCAGCATTTGTGCCCGAGCACTCGCGACTGATTGTTGTGCACTGTCAGCATCTGAATAAAGCTTATTGCCTCTCTACGTGAGATCCTGGTATCTACGTTTATTTGGAGTAACTAATAATCCTTCTGGCCCGCAAAGCACGCGGAAGACATTAATCAAGAAACCAGGATAGAAATAGTTATCTAAAGTCTCGAGGTTGGTAACAAACTTGCTGTTAGACGTAACAGTAAGTATTTGTTTAAAACTCACCAAACTTTAAAATTCTAAGGAATTTGGATAACAGAAATTGGCGCAGCCATCCGTCTTCTTTTTGTGGGGGGTAAGTGTTCCTTGAGTAAAGCAAGCTAATCTGTGCACAGACTAGATTGTGTTTCTGTAAATTTGTGAGTGCTGTTACTCCTCTGCGGTGTATTTAACTGCCTTGTGTCAACGCGCGTGGGTAAGGAAAGCAGAGAGATACAATTGGTGGGTACTAAAAAGTGCAACTAAGAGCAGCATTCTAAATTTTCAAGAGACCTCGTGAAGAGTTCAGTAAAAGTAGCCGATGTAGGGAGGTGATAAACGTGTCAGTGCCAGTGACTCAGTTAGTTGAGTGAGTGTATCGGACGCGATGCTCCCTCCGCCGGTTGTTACTGATACTCCCAACACCCATAGAAATAGGCTGCTGCGCGAATCCCCCGAGGACCAAGTGGCATATTTGCGTGAATTGGTTTGCCTTCTAGAAGTAGAACGCAATGCGTTGAATTTGGCAAACGAGGTTCAACCTCGCCTGCCGGAAGCAATGCTTATCAATAATAGGCGTAATATAGAACTTTTTGACGAGCAAATTCAGGCCTGGAATACGATGGTGGATGCTCTTATCCCTAACTTAGCTGCTAGAGATGAGAGCACTCTGGCAATCAAAATGGCCCAATTAACTTTGTTCATGACCCATCTGAAAGATGAGGTTACCTGACAGCAGCGCAAATTAGATGAGATGGTGGGTATCAAGAACAAACTGTTAACGAAAGAATTAACTCTTGACCAGCTAGATCGGCCTAGCTCTGATGAAGTAGTGTTTTTCAACATGAAAACGGGCAGCCAAGACGCTCCCAAGGGCAATAAACAAATTACGAACAGTATTGTCAACCAATTGCCAAATTTCTCTGGCACTGCTAATGAGAATTGGGCTGATTGGTGGCAAGATATTTGTGTGGCTCTTGTTGGCTGAGACATCACAGATGACAACATGAGAACTATAATCTTACAAAAGGTTGTTGGAAAAGCCCGGGAGTTTCTTTGTTGTGTCGATGGATTGACAGACAAACATTACAGAGTCTTGGTTAAAGAATTAGAGTTAGCATACGGAGGCAATTTTATGGGTGAAGGCGCGCTGAAACTCCAGACAATTTACCAAGGCAAGTTAGAATTGGTTCTAGATTTTTCTGTTAGAATCAGGAGAGTGGGCCAGCAAATGCTTGGCGAAGCCCCCAGCAAAATTAAGGTGTTGAGAGTGGAAGGCCAGGAGCCAAAACTCTGTACAAACCCGTTCCTTAAAATCAAGTTGATTCAATATGACGCCCAAAAGCAGAGTATTGATCAACTTATGGTCTCTCAGTTTCTGCAAGGAATGTTACCAAGTCTTTATGATAGACTTGGTGCCATTCCTATCACCATGGCTCAAGCCCTTGAATACGCGACTAACATCAAGAAATTAAAAGCGCGCTGAAGAGCAAATGAGAATTTTCAAGTGATGTCTGCAATGGCTCGCAAACAACAGCAACATCCTGGCAATAGTAATGCCAATCCAGCTAGGACGTGTTGGGCCTGCAGAAAACCGGGTCACTTTAGCAGCAAATGCTATTCAAAAGGTCAGCCGAGTGGCGCCACTGCTAGTACTTTGCAAAGTGTTCCCCAACAATCACGCGGCCAACGTCTGGTTTTCTCGGTGCCAACCGATGGGCAGGGAAGGCCGATTGGCTTTTCTAGAAACAGTTGCTCTTCAAGCAGGAGCAAAAGCCCAGATTCCAGAGCTTCCAGTCCTGGATCCCATTGGGGAAAAGGAAACAAAAATCAGAAAAGGCAACAACAGCAACCGAGACGAGAACAAAGATCCTCATCGCACAGATCCTCAAGACCAAGTCGAGGAGTGCATTTTCTCCAGCAGCTAGAAGGGCTGGAAGGAGCTGTCCTCGAAGGATTTGAAGATGAACAAACGGATTCAGGAAACGGCAGCAGACCAGGGTTTCAGTTCTAACAACAAAACTCCCGGTCATCATACTATCGACACCAATCGCCAAAGCGCCCATCAAGTTTTTAATTGACACTGGATCTGAGGTATTGTTAATTTATCCTTCTTTCATTTCTTCTGGAATCCCCTTAAAAAGATTAAATATTGCTTTGTCAACAATAGAGGATAGAGATATACCAGTAAGAGGACTCGTAAGGACTTTGCTGTTTTACCAAGATCGTCCCGTAATGCAGGTCAATCTTTTGGTAACTGAAATAGCAAAGAGAGAATTTGACAGGATTTTAGGCTGTGATGTGCTTGATTCAGTTTGAGCTGTCATAAGCCTTAATCGGAATTGTGTTACGCTGAATCAGATTTCTATTCCCCTTTTTAATAAGGAGAATAAAAGTCTAAAAGCAAAACAAGTTCCCAGAGCTGACAAAAACTCCACTGAGAGAGTCTTTTGGTTATATCCAGTTAATACTGTAACGATCCCTGCTAATTCTCAAATGGCAATAGAAGTCTGACCCAAGGAAAATATAGCAAAAGCCTTGGAAGATAGAACTGTTTTTGTAGACCGTGAGATGGGCGGCGAGGTGATTGTAGCTCGAAGTCTTTCTAGAATAAAAGAGGGAAGACTTTGGGTTATGTGCTTGAATGTAAATACAGAACCTTTAGAAATCTCCTCCCGACTAACCATCGCGTCTGGTTCTATTAATGGGTTATTGGACATTTTCCGTCCCAGGTATGTATATAACCTTAACAAGGGGTCCCGAAAAAAGAAAGAAAATATTCATGGAAAAGACGCCGATGAAGACATACCCAGTCTCATCAAGGAAAATTTGAACAACTCTGAATGCCCACCCGAGTTCATCGATCAGGTAAAGCGAATGTTATTTAAACATTGGAAGGTACTGGCTAAAAAGTCAGACAGGTTGGGGCTTTGTACTCGGTACAAAGCAGATATCCCTTTAGATACGACTGTTCCCATTTACATGAGACAGTATCCCATTCCTTTTGGGATGTGTCCTCTTTTGGGGGAATATGTTGAAGAACTTTTGGAACAGGGAATTATCCAGGCTTCTACGTCCCCTTACAATAGCCCCACCCTTATGGTGAAAAAGAAAGATGGAGGGTGGCGCATGGTCGTTGATTTCCGGAAATTAAACG